CGGGGGGGGCTTCTCCTCCACCCTGCTCGCGCTTCACCCTGCGCGGCTGCGCACCGCGGGGCGGAAAAGGCACTTTTGTTTTTTGAAGCTGCCCCAATTCCTCGGTCTCCGGAGGTGGCAGGGGCTGAGGCAGCGGAAAAGGATAAAATGGTAAAATTACCTGGTCTGGGTATTTTTAAGAGCTTAAATGAGGACAAAACGGGGCAGAGCCACGGCCCCGGCACGGCCGAAGCCCCTGGTGGTGCCGGAGCCTTTGCCAAACCCCCACATGAAAATATTTTTGGGAGGTTTTGCTGGGTCACGAGCGCTCCCGGGGTGCCGCCGGGCTTCTCTCCCACGCGGACTCACCCTGGCGGGTCACCGTCAGCCCCCGGCCAGGAGAACCCCCCAGCGCTTCCCAGTAAACCCAGTAAAATAAAACCAGTAAAACAAAAAGTGTTTCTCCGGGCCTCGGCCATTAGGAACGACGGGTTTTTGGTATGAAGTACGTGGCTTTACATGGATTAAGGATAAAAACGGGTATAAAATGTATTTAAAAGGGAAGGTTTAAAACAGAGGATTTAAAATGACTTAAAATAGATTATTTTATATGATTTAAAATAACAATTGTAGAGGATTTAAAACAGAGAATTTAAAATGATTTAAAACAGACAATGTAACAATTTTAAATGATTTAAAATAGAGGATTTAAAATAGATGATTTAAAATCACGACTTTAGATGATTTAAAACAGAAGATTTAAAATAGAGGATTTAAAACAGGGGATTTAAAATGATTTACAATGGATGATTTAAAATAGATTATTTTACATGACTTAAAATAGATGATTTAAAATAATGATTTTAAATAGATGATTTAACAACTTTAAATTACTTAAAACAGAAGATTTAAAATAGAGGATTTAAAATGGAGGATTTAAAATGATTTACAATCGATGACTTAAAATAGATTATTTTAAATGACTTCAAATAGATGATTTCACGATTTTAAATAGTTTAAAATAGGGGATTTAAAACAGAGTACTTAAAATAGATGATTTAAAATTATTTCAAAGAACGATTTTAGATGATTTAAAATAGAAGATATAGAGGATGTAAAATAGAGGATTTAAAAGAGAGGATTTAAAATGGTTTAAAATAGAGGATTTAAGATGAATGATTTTAAATCACGATTTTAGATGATTTAAAATAGAAGATTTAAAATAGAAGATTTAAAATAGAGGACTTAAAACTGAGGATTTAAAATTATTTACAATAGATGATTTAATGATTTCAAATGATTTAAAATAGATGATTTAAAACTATGATTTTAAACAGATGATTTTACAATTTTAAATGATTTAAAACAGAAGATTTAAAATAGAGTTCAATATTAAAATAGATTGAAATAGGTTCAAGTGTGTCAGAATATATTAAAATACCCATTAAAATCTCAGCCCAGGTGCACTGCGGAAGGGAAAAGCTCCTCTTTGCCTCCAGAGGCGGAGGCGCAGGGCGTCCCCTGGCCCGGATCCCGCCCAGCTCCGGAGCAAACCCCCGGCACCCGACGTCCGCCCAGGACTCGGCGTCCCACGGGTGCCGAGGGGGAGGAACTCGGCTTTCCCCCGCCCCAACCCAAAGCTCCACCGCTCGTCAGCAAGATCGTTAATGGGTTTACAACTCATTACTTGCGTCGGGATTGGAACGAGCCGCTGGTGGTATTAATTGCAATTAAAATCTCAATGTTTTGAGGGGACAGAGGAATCAGTGCCACCAAATTCCCGCCCCGCGGCGGGATCTCACACCCACTGCCGTGCCATTAAAGAGCAACGCTTCAATAAAATCCTCTCTTCCACCGGATAAATCCTTGCCCGCGGCTTTTTTCCCCCACCCGTCTCCATCTCCAGAGCGGGAACACGTCGCTGGAAGAAGGAGGAAAAAACCCAAGTTTGAGGCTCAAAGGTACCTTGCGGTTTCCTCTTCTTCCGTAAACACGACGTCACGTATCTCTCCAGCTCCCGCAAGGTGGACGGTTTTAACGTCTCAAAGTCAATCTCGATCTCATCGGGATTGGAGTTTTTGAGCGAGGGTTCTCTCGACTGGATGATATGAACGACTCGGCCCAGCTTCTCACCGGGGAGTTTATTAATGTCCAGGCTCAGCTGCCTCTTCTCCTCGTAGGACATGGGTTTACACTTCTCCTCCTCCTCGGACTCGTAGGCTGGAGGGGGCTTGCTGTTCTTCACCATCACAGGCTCCTTCTTACTACTTAAGAACAATTATAAAGCGTTATTACACAACGGACCGCAATGCCAAAAAGCAGCCGCTTGCATCTAAGCTCTTCAGCGTCACCACTAACATCACTCCGGTTTTAATACTTTTACTTTCTGTCCTGGAAACGAGCATCTCTCTCATTTACAGCTTGAGCTTGAAGCTCAACGACAGGGCTGGGATGCAGAAAGCTGAGCTCAACCCACTGTTAGATGAGCAAGTTGAGCTCAACTTGCTCTTGGACAAGAAGGTCGAGCTCAACTTCCTCTTGGACAAGAGGGCCAACCTCAACCCACTGCTGGACAAGAAGGCTGAGCTCAGATTGCTCTTGGACAAGAAAGCTGAGCTCAGCCCGTTGATAAACAAGAAAGTTGAGCTCAGCTGGCTCTCAGACAAGATGGCTGAGCTCAAGCCCGCTGTTAGACAAGAAAGTTGAGCTCAGCTTGCTCTTGGACAAGAAAGTTGAGCTCACCCCATTGACAGACAACTCACTCTTAGATGAGAAAGTTGAGCTCAGCTTGCTCTTGGACAAGAAGGCCGAGCTCAACCCACTGTTGGACAAGACAGTTGAGCTCAGCTTGCTCTTGGACAAGAAGGCCGAGCTCACCCCATTGACAGACAAGAAAGCTGAACTCAACCCTGCTGTTAGATGAGAAAGTTGAGCTCAGCTTGCTCTTGGACAAGAAAGCTGAGCTTGACCCGCTGTCAGATGGGAAAGCTGAGCTCAACTTGCTCTTGGACAGGATGGCTGAGCTCAATCCACCATTAGACAAGAAAGCTGAGTTCAACCTGCTGTTGGACACCCAAAGCCAAGCTGCCCGTCCCAGTGTTTGCCCTCCCAAAGAGATGAGCTGCTCAAGATCATTCAAAAAATCAGGAGCAGCTCCGGAGTGGAACTCCTCACATCTGCACTCGGATGGACCAAGGCTCGACCAATGCTGCCTGTTTCTTGCCAGGAAAGGCAAGAGGTTGGGCTGACGTTCCGTACGGAGAAATAAAACCCAGCATCCGTAAAAAACCACGTTTTTAAGAAGGGAAAAACCCAGCTAAGGGGACTCCCTGACATCACCATCGGGGTTATCCACACTTGGGGCACTTCAGAACTGACGGGAGGTCGATTTGTAGGTATTTCTCTCCCCATCCGCAGCGGATTCAGCGCCAACGCAGTTAATAAATGAAGCCTGGGCAGAAAAATGCCCCAGAATGAGTCAGGGCTGAGGTTAATGGTGTCACAGACAGGCCATTTCCCTAAATTAATCCGCTGCCGGGCCCGCCGGGGTTTACTCAAAGTCTGAACGCACTGAACGCCACGGTGAGGCCCGGGGACGGAGGCAGGCTCCAAGCTCTCGCTCATTATTTCCCTCTTTCTTAATTTTCACCTCGGTAGAGCTACACATGCCGAACAACTCCTCTCCGCCTCAGGTTCAACGCCAAGATCCTGCCTCTCCCCTCTGAGCCGGCAGCTGACAGGCAGCAGAGACTCTGCTCTCGGCGTCCTACCTCTGATTTAAAACCTACAGCTCCCTCAAAGAACGGGAGAGGGAGGGAAAATGAGAGGATTCGAGGATTTTAGAGCCAACAGAGCGACTCCATGCAGGGTTTTTTCCCCTCTTTCCCATATTCGGGGTGTTCACAGCAGCCACGCGGGAAAGAACTGGTCCTGAAAACCGGAGCGGAACTGGTGGTTGGGACGTGACCCCGAGCAACGCCTCCGGAGGCGAGGGGCCTGCCCCAAGCCAGCCCTAACGACAGCGTTACTCGTTAAGAATCCTGCGAGTCATTAAGTTAATTATCGAAGAGAAATAAAGAAGCGCCGTGGTGTCAAACGCACGGATTACGTGGTGGAAGAGGGACAGGGCTGACCTGGAGGTACTGCTGTTGCTGTTGCTCTTCTTGGCCTTCTTGGGCTGCGGTTCCTTGGCTTTGCTTTTCTTGGCGTCTTCCAGCTCCTCCTTCTTTTTGTGCTTCTCTTTCTTCTTCTCCTTCTTGTCTTTCTCTTTTTTCTTTGGTTTGTTCTGCTGGGGCTGGGACAGGGCCGCAAGCTGTTCATGCACCGCTTTAAGCTGCGAGGCAGACACGCACAGCATCAAGATACTTTTGCCCAGCACCTCCTCCTCTTCTTCGCTAATTAACATGTTTTTCTCTACTGCCTAACGCTTTCTTATCTCTTACTACTAATTAATTTGGTTCTTCACATCATAATTTTTGGGTATTAAAGTGCTGACCACCGTGCGCACAACGCCCTTATAGCTATTTCCTCCCGCTAAGGCAGAAGCGGGCTGCTCGCTTCTAGCGAGGCTTTAATTACCAGCACTAACGACGCCACGAACGGGGAAATTAGGCTACAGGTTGGAGCGCTGCTTGTTATCTCACGGGCTTTCCCCGCGCGGGGTAAATCCTGGCTCCAGCCCTGGAGTGTCCTGCCTGCTCAGAAGACACCCAGCGTCATCAAGGCTGGGCAAGACCTCTAAGATCTTCCAGTCCAACCGTCACCCCAACCCCACCACGCCTGCTAAACCATAGCCCAAAGTCCCACATCTACGCGGCTTCTGAACCCCTCCAGGGATGGGGACCCCCCCACCGCCCTGGGCAGCCTGGGCCAAGGCCTGACCACTCTTTCAGCAACAGAATTTTTCCCAATATCCAATCTAAACCTCCCCTGGTGCAACTTGAGGCCAAAAAATACGGAACGCTTCACGTTCCACCCAAGCGCCAGCAGCAAACTCCCACCGTTGGGGATCACCTTGCGCGTCCCAACAGAACTTGAAGAACCGTCCTGAAAAACACCGATTCCTTCGTGCTTCACTTTAAAACTACTGATTTTGGAATACTTTGTGGCTGACGGTCACTACTGCACAGCTAAGAAAGTCTACGGCTTTGAGCAAAGCCCCCAAGGCCACCAAGTTCAAGGAGAAGGACACGTTGGCCGGCCCCGGTCCATCACGACGGCCACGGTACCTGCTCCTGGAGCTCCGCTAACCGCTGAGCTCGCTCTTCCTCGGAGTCATCCGACGAGCGGGGGCCCTGTCGCTGCTGCTGTCGCAAGCCGAGGGGGGAGCCACCTTGGCGGGAGGCGAGACCACCACGGGAGAAGAAGCCGGAATCACAGGTTCTTCCGGTTCATCCGGCATCTTGGCAAAGCGCATCTCGAACACGTCCTGAAAAGACAAGGGGGAAAATAAATAACACAAGGTTTGGCAAAGCAGGAGACTACGAGCGTGGTTGTGATCTCAAGGGTGTTCCCTATGGATTTGCCGTAAACCTCAACCACGAGTTGGCACTAATCCTGAAAATCCAAGAACTCATCTTGGATGATGAAAAAAAGCAAAAAAACCCCGAGTTATTTTAGAGGTTTTTGTTTCCAGGGCGGAGGGAGAACACAGCAGGCAGCGAGGGCGGCTCGTTCTTCAGCAAGACGCCGCGTAGATTACTTACGGGGGACTCACGTCCCAACATGAATCCTCCGCCCTGTTTCCAAACCTCAGCCGTGCTCCAGAAACCTCCCGCATTTCGTTTTTCTTTCCGAAATCTTCTTCGATTTGATTTCTTGGGCACCAGAAAAGCAGGTGGAGAGGAGCCGCCTCGCGCTCAGCCAGCTGGGGAGCGGGCGCACCGGCAGGCTTCCGGCACCCACCTCTGTCGGCGTCGCCGCGACGGGGCCACTTGGCTATTTCACGCCCGTTTTTTGGGGACTAGGACATCCAAACCCCACTTTTTTCATCTTTACGTCAGAAATCGAAGTTTCCCCGAGCGGTGGCTCCGTGCAGGGACGTGTTCCCGAGCCCACCCGCAGGATCGACGTGGGTGAAATCCTCGTTTCGCAAAGCCCTCGGTCCAGGATTTTCCAGACGCGCTGAGGACTTTCCCTCCGTGAAACGGGGTGAAAACAGAGCAAAGCCGCGAGTTTCCCCGCAGTTCTTCACCCCGCGACCAGAGCGCCGGGAATTACCGACCCGATTCCTTCTGCCGCTGGTTGGAAACGGCTCCACGGCGTTGCGGGAAGAGGCCGCGACGTTCTTTGTGAGACCCAGACGAGAAGCGAAGAGCGGCTGGAGTGGGAGCGTCGGGTTTTCTGGGTGGCTGCTTCCCACCAAATCCCTCCAAAAACATGAATGAGATGCGGAATTCTGCTAAATTCACACCAAAAGCAAACTGAACCACGCAGTTACTGAGTGTGTAATCGTATCTTCAACTCAACCGGCCCAAACAGAACCCCAGCATGGGGGGGGTTGGCAGGGACCTCTGCGGTCCCCCAGTGCCACCCCCTGCCCAAGCAGGGTCACCCAGAGCAGGGGGCACAGCACCACGTCCAGGCGGGGCTGG